TCTGCTCGGCATGGACCTCGTCAGGTTTGCACGGGCTGTGCCGGTGAGCGGCGCCAGGGGCTCCGTTTGGAGGTGCACGGGGCAAGGCGCGCTTGCAGAAGACGGCCCTGGTTAAAAATCAGTGTTTCTGAGCACAGGCGTTAGCTCTGCCAGGAGCCTGTGAGAGGTATCAGGCGCTAGAACAGGATCTGTCAAGGAAATCATCAGGCGTTTTTCGTTCTACAAAGTTTATACTGAGCTGAAACAGCTCTTATCAAGAGCAGAGCTGGACATCAGGAACTAGTGTTTGTGCCTTTTTCTAGGGTTTGTATTCATTTCCTATTTGCCCCATCTTTCAGACACATATTTTTAAGTTTTGGTCTCAGCCACAGCTCTGTGTAAATACTGACAGCTTCTTGTGCCTGCCTTACTGGGTGCCAGCGGAACTCTCATTTACAGAGAGCAGTCAGCCACTGCTCTCGGCATTGCTTTCCCCCAGTCCAACACCCACACGGTGTTTCATAGGAGACCTCTCCCTGCTTTTCTGTATTTCCATTTGGTTGTTTTTCCTCATGTCAAGGACATAGAGAACCCACTTAAAACCTGCCCTGTAACTTACTCCTTTCTCTTACGAGGCCATACAAGCATCAGGTACATACAGAAACAGCACTGCAAATCAGCTTGAATACTCAGGCTGAATAGTTATAAGTTTATAGTTCCAAAGATAACATCTTCCTTTTGTTTTAGGCTTGGACTCGAGAGAGCGGACACAGCTGAAAAGGCTCTTACAGTCATAGTTGAATTGCTAGAAAAATATGGACAGGGAGGAAACTGTATGGAGAGCCACATGGCATTTACGTACCATAACAGTTTTCTGATAGCCGACAGAAAGGAAGCCTGGGTGTTGGAGACATCAGGAAAATACTGGGCAGCAGAAAAAGTAGAAGGTATGGATGTGATAGTCTTGGTTTTAAATATTTAAATGCAGTGACAATTAGCAGTTCTCCACTTTTCATTTACCATTTCTTTAAGGCATGAAACTAGCCTCCAGATCTGTACAGGTGCCTGTAAACAGCAGGGGTTGCTTCCTAGGGCATCAGTGTGGAGCAGCTTGCAGTTTCACAGATGAGCCGAGTCACATGGGGACCTTTCAGAGTCAGAGATTACTGCTTCTGCACTTGGAAAACAGAGGACAGCAAGAAGGTCAGCGTGAGAACAGCTGCAGTTTGTGAGGGCTTAAGGATCGTGGCAATGGATGACAATTTCATCTGGTGACAGGATCAGTGCACTGGGCACCAAAGTACCGGACTCTTCCATTAGACTTACAAGGACAAGCTTTGTCCTTGGGGATCCAAGAAGAACATAAATAGGAATAATCAGGACAGAACCTGAAATACTATGTTGGCAATAGAAGTAAATGAGTCAGAACTAAGTGGCAGTGGAGTTTTAATCAGAGGGATACATATAGCCAGGGAGAGAGGGCCAGAAATAAACCACAGGACTCACAGATCCTGTAGGCAACTCTTCAGTGCAGCATTTGCTTTTATTTTGGTAAACACAATACCAAGAAAAAGCATTCAATGTATTAAAAGGATTCTTTCCTCACTTTACAAACAGGAGGTGTGCGGAATATTTCCAACCAGCTCTCTATCACAACCAAGATTGACCGAGAACACCCAGAACTGAGGGAATATGCCAAAAGCAAGGGCTGGTGGGATGGGGAAAAAGAATTTGATTTCGCTGCCACATACTCGTACGTAAACACTGCCAGAATGACGACATCCAGAGGCCGGTATTGTGAAGGCTATAAACTTCTGAACAAACACAAAGGTATAATTTCCTATATATTTTTTTAAGATATGTAAAGCATTTAGTGAGTTACAGCAAATAAAAAAAAACCGTTTAGATGACTGATGCAGGCAATCATTTGTGTGATTTGGTGAACCAGAACTTATCAGAATAACTTTTTACCTAAAGGGAAAACACTGATGTGAAGTCCTCTATCTGTTTTTCCCAATTTGTTTTAATTTTTCATCATCAACAAGGGTCAAATATCACACACACAGCCACAGTAACAGCACTGAGTGGTCATGTTATGACCATACTACTACTCTGTAAGACCTGCTCTGAAACATTTTAAAGGGCTATATATTATTACTATACCTCTACGAAAAAACAAAACAAAACAAACCCCAGGGAATAAAAGAGACTTCCAGTGGTTTGCAGTCACCAGCAGAACTTTATGAACAACTTCAGTCTGATGTCTTTCCTATAGGCCTAAGAAAACAGCACAGCATTCAGATACATACCTTGCATTTATTTTTGAGGGTTTTTTAAAAAATCTTTGTAGTTTCACTATAACTGCTGCTCTGACCTTGTGTAGTCTATTAAAACACACTCGGAACAGAAGAAAATAATTTTCAATACTCTAAGCAGGTGCTCCTAATCATTAACTTACTTATTTTTCTGACCTCTATAGAAAGAAGCTGTTACTTCTCTTCTAACTACATCCAACTGGCAGGTTTTTGCTGCATCTGTATTCACTTGCTCATTTGAAGTAATTAATCTGAACCAAAATCACACTGCACCCCTGTGTTTTTTTATTTACTTGGCTGAGCTCGGCCATACCAGGCTTAGCATTTAGTTAATGTGTCAGAATGAAATTACCTTTTGCTATCCTGCTCTAGCAATCACATAAATCCTGCATTCATTCTGGGAATTGCAGGTTCTGAATACTGAGAGCATTTTCATAATACCTGTATTTACTTGTATTTTAACAATGCTGAGATTCTATTCAGTGTTTTCATTCTAAATCCCCATTTTCAGGCATTTACTTGAGCCATTTAAAAATCAAAAATCACACTAGGTGTTCAGGTTATCAGCCTCATATTGTTTCAGTTTGTTTAGATTCATTTTAAATAGGTACCCTAACTACAAGCTATTTGGTTTACAGCATCAGTAAAATCACTGGTTTCTTAATCTACCCTTCCCAGCTTTTTCATTCAGTGACATTACAGTTTTTTCCCCAGGCTACCTAACATTTTTAGATAAAGGTTCTTTATATTACAAGAAAAAAATACGTATTTCAGGAGTGCAAAACGATAACAAAGTCTAGTCAAAAACATGCAGTACCTTCTTTCCTGCTGGACAAGTTGCCAACATGCAGTTGACAAACTGACTTGCTTCTTATAATTTCTTTGATTCCTCTAGCTTGCTGATTTCTTGAATCCCCTGACTTTCCCTGTAGGAGTAGGAGTACTTAAGAGTGTTTCCTTGCTGAAATGTAGCGCTGCATGCCTGTCTACAGGCTGCTTGAATCATATATTAAAAAAATAACACTGGAGACATCTGACTTACCAGCAGAGTGGTTACTTTAAGAGGAAACAGCAGTTTCAAAAAGAGAATCTTTATGCAGCTAGAACTTCACTGAAGGAAACACTAAAAGATTCAAAAGTAGATGTTACTTTCAAGTGAGAAAAAAAAAGTTAATGAACTAATGATTTTCTGCTATAAACATGCACTCAGCTGGTACACCAAATATGAAAACTGCTTCAAATGTTGAATTGCTTGGTGATACCGTGTCAGTATTTAAGCTTCAGCGCATGCTATACACAAACAGCGACAGCACTTGAACACCAGGTGCAGAGGCACGCTAGTGGAAAGGGGGTTGTCTCACCTAACTGAAAAGAATTATCTTCAGACACCTTTGGCACTGTACCTCACATAAGTAGTTGATTAAGACTTCTTTACAAATGGAAGTACTGTTGTACTATTGTAGTTTCTGTTGGTTCTAAGTATGGAACATATTACTCCAGTGCATCCTTTCAGTTGTCAACTTGATGCCTAAAAGTTTTGGAAGGTCAAATGATTAAAGTTTGGGGGAAAAAAAAGAAAAAAAGTGGCAGCCTTCGTGTTTCATTTCCAAAGGTACACACCAAATCCACACTCAGTTGTTACTACTTTTACAGCTCCAAAACCCAGTGTACAAATACCAATAACTATTACAGTGATTTATCTTGACTTCCATACAGTGCTCAAAATTCAACCTGTCAACTAAGCTACTACTTTTCATCTGAAAAGTTACCATGTCAGCAACCATTTGCTAGCCATACGTATTTTGCCTTTCTGGGAAACATCGTGTGTCATCATCCTCCCCCTTCTCTAAGTCTCATTATCACCTATTCTTTGAAATAAATAGTTCGTGGTGAACAATAATATTTTTAAGTGTATTAGACATTAAGGTATACCGTGAGGATGATTTTTCTTTTCCTGCCCACATGGACAAACTGAAACTGGCATTGCTTACTAAAGGAAAAAGCAGCCAGTTGTACAAAGCATGCGATTTTGTTGGTGTTATGAGTAGCACTGTGTGTAAATAATTGTATTGTATCTTAAATAGGATCTATCACTTCTGAAATAATGATGGAAATTCTTCGTGACAAGGAGAGTGGCATTAATATGGAAGGTGGATTTATGACAACGGGAAGCATGGTGTCTGTACTGCCTCAGCAGCCTAATCTGCCATGTATTCACTTCTTTACTGGAACCCCAGATCCTGCAAGGTGATGTAGCAGAAGTAATTAAGATAAAAAGTTGCAGATACATAAAAGAAAAAATGTTGCATTTTTTCTTATTATATTCCTTTTTGCTTTTTCTTTTTTCCTTATTTCTCACCTGAAAAAGCAAAACCAAAAAAGTAGGAGCAACATAATGTACATTAATGTTATTTACCAACCTACTTTGTGAAACACTGGTATGCCACTGACTTAAACACTGCTTAGGAGATTTTTTTCTTTTTTTGAGACTTCTTTCTTAAAAAAAGGAATTAGAGAAATGGGGAGAAAATACAGCAATCTACCAACTCAACAATTTTAACAAAACTGTATCAGTAAAGAATCTCTGTTCTATTTTCTCTTTCTAGGTCTGTGTTCAAGCCTTTCATTTTTGTGCCCAATATCACTCAGTTATTAAAAACTAGCTCCCCTACATTTGGTCATGATGATCCAGTTAAGAAGCAACCACGTTTTCAGAGCAAGCCAGACCGAAGACACGAGCTCTATAAAAAACATGAAAGCGCAGCCGTCGTTATGGAAACTAAGGAGGTACATCGATTAAATTAGATTTCAGTGCAAGCAGGTGGTTTATATAAGGTCCTTGCTCCCATTTTGTTAATGCGATAGCATTTAATACCCTGTGATGGATTGCGAAGAACACCGCCGTGCAGCAGAAGCCCATCGTCTCAGCATCTGGCAGGCAGATGCTTCAAGCGCTAAAAATGGCAACAGGCGCTCTGCTGCGCTCCCAGGCCGAGCCCCGGGCAAGGACCTGTCCCTCTCGTCTCGCAAAGCAGCCACAGGGCACACGTGCTCCTGCATCGGTCAGAGAATGGGGGGATGCTTGAGCAGCCACAGGCAAACAGACAACTCCTGAGGGGAGCACTTCAAACTCTTCAGGCCCCTGGACTTGGGCAGTGAGGAGGGCAGGCTTTTTATCAGCACTTGGTATGGATGGGAAAGGAAACAAGATCGCAAAGGCAGCTGGACACAAAGGTGGAGCGAGGAGGTGCTCACTTGTAATAGTAGCGCCTCTCCTATTTACAGATAGATGTTCTAAAAAATAAGACATACCCACTAAAGTTTCGGTAGCATAAATACCTAAAGCAGCTTTAATTTTGTTTATTTTCAATCCATCAGGTAGGTGAAGTGAGTGCTAGATATTAGGAAAGATATTTAAGAAAACCTGTCAATGTGCCAGCACAAGTTTGTACCACAGAAACTATGAAGAGGTTAAAATAGGGACAGCACAACAGACACTACACACTCTGTATAGTTTTTAGTGAAATACAAACATTTCTTTTTGCAGGGCCAAGGTAAAGAGATGCTGAAAAAAATACAGGAGTTGGAGAAACAGAAAATAAGCGAAATGGAATCAATCCTTCAAAACGGATATCTTGACGTTAATCAAGTGGCTAACCTTTTTGCACAATGTGTAGAAGATGAACTGAAAATATATAGCTAAAGCTACTATCTGAATGTGGTAAAATACAGAGGTACGATTACCTTTTCTAATGAAGCGAATATATATATTACATCTTATTTTCAATATACTGGTTAGTATGAACAGTTGTAAAACTGCAGATTCATATTCAGGCTAAACAGCTTTTGGTTGTATGCAGCAATGCTGAAAAGGCTTTGAAGAGCGAGACAGTGGCTTTGTCTGTACGTGGCATAAAGCTGTCAGCAGAGATTGATTTTGTCAGACAGATGCAGTGAGAATGGAATAGCTTAAGTAAACTGTGGAGCAACCCCATCTCTGGACACTAACCCAGATTCTGAGAACTCTCTTTTAGCGTACACGTGTGTAGCTTTCATAGTCAAGATCATGGTAGCAGAACTTCACATTGCCTGAATTAAGAGGGCCATGCTAAAGGATTTTCTAAAATGTAGAACCTGTTACTTGCACTGAGTAAAACAGAAAGCGATACGCAAGTCAAGTAAGATTGATACTCAGCTGTTTGACAAAACCATTCTAAGATAATGTTCCTATAATGAACCTTATACTCCTTCAATGTAAAGTGAGGCTAAGAGCTCAAAGTATACTAAAACCAAATCACAGTTACTATTTTACCATCGTTTGTTACGAAATCTGATTACATGGAATTCAACAATGCATGCATCCTGCAAGTTGCCACACAATTTTCACTTGCCTATTTTCCCCGCCCTGATGCAAAAAAATAAACTTACTCACATACAATATGACTACTGTGAAATCAATTCTGCAGTACACTTTATAACATCATGTGGGAGTTTTTTAAAGTGTCTTGAATTGTTACTTTAAAAAAGTCAGGCAACTAGAAGGGAAGAGGTTGGGGTACACAAGTATATGCAGCAGGTAGCCAGTGGGACATCTAACAGTTTGACCTTTAGATTTTTTTCACTTCATATAAAGTCTTTTAACCGTGACATGTCTTGCCAAAATTACTGGACTGTGGAGTTCATTTAATCATTCTTCCTCCCTGAACCTGTATAGAAGTAATGATCAATACATGACGCTACTTTTATTATCTGTAGCAAGGGACAAACTGAGCAAACAACAGATAAATATGCAGGCTTCACTGCATGATCAAGCAGGATAAAAAGTACGACTGGAAGGAAAAGAGACCACAAACCATCGTTTCTGCAAAGCTTCAGGACATGTAACATGAAACAAAGCATCAGCACTGCAGTAGCAATATGTGACGTGACACAGCATCCCCAGAGAAAGACACAGCAGACCACAGAAAGACTATATTTAGTTAGTTTCTAGAATCATCTCGGGTGCTAAAGGTGGGGCTACAGGCATGGAGTTTTCTCATTTTGTAAACTGTTCTAGCCCCCCACTGGTAAAAAGAGTAAATATAGGCAAAAAGAAATAAATACACAATGGAGTTTGCAGAATGTGTAAGAAAATGGAGAGTGTGGCAGAATTTGTTCTTCCTGATCCTACAATGAAAGTAGAAGTTAATTTGGGATATTGTGTTGAGATCCACAGCAAGAAACCGATGCGTCAGGAAAAGTTCTTGAGTTTCCTAGTTCTGGTGATCCTATGCGTACCAAGTGTCAGTAGTAAGTATATTTAATAAAAGTTTGCTGTATTAACCTGTTTTCCTCATGGATGTCTGTATGTGACAATCGTGTGTACGTTGTTTTTTTCGATTATCAGCTGTTTCACACTAGCTTTTCAATAACTTCAAAGCATCAGTAAATGGCAGGTAAAACCATGCTAGAAACCAAGGTATGCATCAGGTTTACAGGTGTCATAGCAAAACAAGAGAAACTATTTTATGCTACAATGCAAATACAGTGAAGTCACACAGGAATTAAGGTAGTGACGGTAGCAGAGCCGGCCTTTAAGTGGACTGCTTGGCCGTTTAATCGTGGGGTGCCAGTTAACCAGGTTAAACATATCAGTCTGGTTGCAAAATAGGCAGATACAATCCAATTGCTCCTCTAGCTTCTGTGCTGGGTTTGGGTTTTCTGTTTGGTTGGCTGGGGTTTTTTTTAACTGGTCTACAGGATACAAAGCAAAACAATGTAATCAAGTGATCAAGATCAAGTGATGGCCAAGACAGCACAGGGTATTTTAGTAGGTTTTTTTTCCACAGGATTTCATCCTCCTAGAACATGTGCAGTTTAAAACCAAAAAATGAAGATGAGATCATGAGGGATAAAGAACACTCCCTCCCACAACCATACGTTAAAAAAAAAATCAGAATGTCCTCTAGAGGGCAATCTTTGCATGTATTTCATCCAGAAATACATCTTGCAGTTTATTTTAAAAAGGTGTAGTGCTTCTGACAGATCATTACTTAAAAAAAAAATCTGAACACCCACACACCACCAACAACAGCAACAAGAAACCCACACCCAAACCCTAGAATTGCTAGTTAGAAAACTTAAAAAGTTTTATATTCACCCTTGTCCATTACCACATTTATTTTGACACTAGTGCCCAGTGTTTCACTGGAAACTCCTCTGTACTTCTTCAGTGGATGTTTTCATGGAACTGTAACTTCCAAGTTAACTGAGATTTATCTCAAACTAATACACCTTTGAAATAAAACAACTCATTGCACCACTGACCACACCTTTAAAGCAAGATTTCTAACCACCGAAAGCACACAGATCAGTACATCAACTATTGACATACATCAAATTCTCAACTATTTTAAAACCTGCCAGTGCTCCTTGGCAGGAGCAAATATTTATCAGACAAAATAGTTACTTAACTTTCTAAAGCTATTCAAAGTCTATTCTTGGCTTCCAGAAGTACCCAGTGCCAGAGAAATAGATAATCATATCCCATTTTCTTTAGTCTATTTATTAACCACCATAGACTCTAATCAAACAAACGGGTATGACATCAGCACATATTTTAACAGTTAATCTAACAGAATTTGGTGACAGTTGTTAATTAGATTTGTAACAGGCAGCCTTCTCTAAGCAAAATTTTGAGCAATTTCTTACTTAAAACGTACGTTGTGTTCAATTTTAGGGTATAGCAGAGCCATTTTAAAAAAGGGAGGCAAGGGCAGGACTTTCTTTCAAAAACGAAAAGAGTGTAAGAACAGTAACTATGGACTATAAAACTGACTCAAGATCAACTTCTTGAACATTTGAAGGATTTCCCACTCCACCTCCCCCCCCAAAAAAAATTAATTGCATATGGTAAATAGATGATAATGTGAGACATTCCTAAAATATCTGTTTACGCCGTTAGACAAAAGCTGGTATCTTTGTGCAGACTCCGATTGACAAGTCCCCTGCCTACTTAAAAAGCATCAAGGGCAGATTTAAGAAATATCAAATTTGAAACACAAGAGCTACTTTTAACAAATCTCTCCAAAACCCAGATTTGTTGCAAATCTCGACATGCACACATAATCCTCCCAAAACCACACACAACATCAAAGCTCAGAACTCTGAAATCAAGTAACAGATTTATTGATAAGTTACAGTGTTTCGAAGCCAGACATACTCATGGCTTCTGCTCTTGAATCACAAATATCTAACAATTCCAAAGTATTTGATGTAGCCATCTTCAGCAGTTGTAATGGAAATACTGTTTTCCCTTGTGGCCACAGTCTGATACAAATGTCAATTATTTTGTTGCTGTAAAACGTTAAAGTATGTCGGTTTGCATAGCATACATATGCAGTAGGATGCAGTTACGTTTCTGTGCACACTGCAGGAGTGCAATAAGAAATTATTTTCCAATACAAGTCTTGCATGGAGTTACAGCTACCATAAACCAACTGTTTCTTGAACAGTACTTTATGCTGCTAAAATCACTTTTAGTTCTTAATACAAAGCAGATGCATCAGCAACTATAATAATCTGTGCACTAAAAAAAAAAAAAGAAAAAGGGAAGACTTAAAAACAAGGATAGGAAGAGTTATTCATATGCTTGAACAAATAGTTATTTTTTCTTCTTAATATCTGGGTTCCTTTCACTATGTAAAATTTTTACACAGATAAATGCTGTTCTTGCAGTTTTAAAAGTGCAGCAAAACAGCTATCAGATACTTCTGTTTGTCTTTGACAAACAGGTTCTCAGATTCTGCTTTCAGTGCACAGGAATCCAAATGACACCAGAGTAACTATTTAAAAATTGTAGGAGGATACCTGAGGCTTAATAGAAACCTGTGTTTGGCAATCAACAGTAAAGGATCCGTAGCTAGTCTAAACCCTAACTTGGATGTTCAGTTAGGATTCTTTATACAATACACTTAAAAGTAACTGGATTTTACTTAAAAGATTTTATCATTTGACAATTTTTTTTGTCTTGACTTGCACAGGTATCCAAGACTTCCATAACATCTTTGTTTGAGGCTGGCACTTCTGAATTAAACTGGAATGGCTAATTTCAGAAGGTAAAAAGCTACTCTTGACAAAGCTGTTATCACTATAATAAGGCAAAATTTTGGAACCGATTGATTATATGAAATTCCATTATATTATTTCCTAATTTGGAGAAACAGTGGGTATTTTCATGTTTTTAAGTTTGTACAAAGCCATTATTTATTCCTCTCAATGTTTCCTCCGCTTTTATCCTCTGACATCAATTAGAATCACCTTCACAACAATTCTACTTTTACAAATGGAGGATTTTTATCTTTGAGGGAGAAACAAACCATCTGATTTGAGGTGTAAACAGCTAGAAAAGATTCCTGGTGTAGAGCAGAATAGTAAAAACCAGGGTATGATAGAAATCCTACTTCTAAGAAGTTGGGGGGAAGCCTAATCATAAACAGGAATCAATATTTTATCACACTAAAATATGGTAAGCATACAGTAACAAGAAAAATACTTTTAATTCATCTTTTTTTCATTGTGGCACCAGTCACTAAAGTTGCTGTTCTAATGCCTCTATAATATGACAGTGGCACATATAATTTTACTATTTTTCTCAAAATGGAAAAAGAAATGCTCTAAATCCAGGGCATTGTGTTTTCATCCAGTTTCATTTTGGTTGGAACACTCACTAAATATCACTTGCCATTATTTCCTTCAGAATAGACACAAGTAGAACTATGTACCTCAACTTTACAAGAGAGAGTAACACAATTCTCTGAGAGCCCTGAGAAAGAAATGCTTCCAGCTTCAGGGGTGAAGGCAGAGGACGTGGTCACACTCAGTCCTCACTGCCTGTCCTCTGCCTACACGTTCAGGTCAATGGCTCTCAGCTGCAACTGATCTCTTAGGAATAAAGCGGTAATACAAATATTCATCCCGAAATTCAAATTCATTCGTAATGTGCTGGACGACACCTCCTTTCATCAGTCTGTCTCCATACATCACAGCTTCACCGCGGTCAGAGGCAAGGCCCACTTGCATGAGCCAGTTCACCAGGTCACAGCCAAAGAAGATGCCAGTGGAGATCTTTGCACCACACCTGTATGTCAAAGGAATGATTCACCCACATGTTCTGTAAATCTGGTATCAGCACTGCACGATGGGGAAAGGCAAGGAAAAAATAGCAGGAAACAAGGAAAGACATCATGATAGTTAAGAGCACATTCGAAGAGAATTTGCAAGTTTTGTACATTAGGGGCATGCCAATGCTCACTACCTCTTCCTACAGACATTTCAATGAGAAGCCAAATGTACCTGCAAAGTCAATTTAGGCTTGTACAAATAAACTTCAGTGAACATAAGTAGCAGCTTTCCTAAAAAAACACACAATATAATTCTATTTCTTGAATACTTACTGCCCATGTACTCACTAGCATCCCCACTTCTGCAACAAATTATCCCTGTGCTGCATGCTCGCAGCAACAGGGACTCAACCTGCCCTTTAATTTCATTTTATAATTTCTCTACAGCATTAAACAGACACCAACTGCTTGCATATACTATAAACAAAAATCATAACTTGCACATATGGGTAAATACTTACCACACAGGCAGTACTAAGAATAAACAAAACCTTTACAACAAGACTAAATTTTCTTTTACACACTTACGAGGCAATGCCATTAACATCTACCTAGGTGCAGTAAAAATACCATTCAGAAATTTACCTGCAGCAATGAATGTTTCTGGTTATCTAAAATCTGCTCTATGGAACCCAAGCACAGGGTTTCTGAAGATGATTAACAGCTACACAAGACAGCAAAACCCAAACTTCTATTTTTTTTAAGTTAGAAGCAGTGGTAACACAGAGCAAGTGTTAACATCTATTAGCAGAGAAGCAAAAATTAAAATAAATAGAAATCCATGATTACAAGGTCTCATCTATAATATGTCTAAATCAAAGATGATAAAATCAAGTTCAATGAATATTTAGAATGAAAAGATGAATGCTTTCTTTTAACTCACAAGGAGAAGTAAGACATGAAACTAGTTCCACACAAACATAATACCAAAACAACAAGTAACAAATGTCAGATTTTTATGTATTCTCGGGTGAATATATAATTAATAAAAACACAAAACCCAACCAAATCAACATTCCAAAGGCCAAGAAACCACAACAGCAGCAGAGGCACAGGAAACACAGTAGTAAAACCTGTTCTATTTCAAAATAAACATTTTCTGATACATCTTTCCTGTCTGGCTTGCAGGAAGCAAGTCCTTGGACTGCCATAGTTCACTTTTCCAAAATGGGTAACTTTTTCACTTAATTTCTTACAGAGCGTTACAGACTTCTGAGGAGAATGAATGAAACCATAATGCTGTTAAAAACAGTTCTGGAATGTGGTTTTGGACTATGTGACCATGAAAAAGACCACTTCACCCTGCCAAACTAGTCCTACTCAAAAGCTCACATGACAAGAAACGTAGAAGTGTCGTGTCAGAACAATTCTTCATGTCTCCATTTCGTACAGTAAATCTTCTAAAAAAGGCAGAATCTTTTTTCCTGTTTATGATGCTCCTGTCTGTATTTCTCTTCTCATTCCCTTACACATGCCTGAATGAATAATCCCCGATATTATAATTTGCCTCTGAAAGCTTTGCTGACCTCATAAATCTAAATTTAAGCCTCACAAGAGGAATGAGCAAAAGAAAATGGACGAACCTAAAAGGTGTAAAGGTCCTAAACCCACTATAATCTCACATATTGAGCAGCCTCTGTGTACACACTGACATCAGTTGCAAGAGTTTCACCTCCTGTAAAAGCTGTTTTTTATTAAACACTCAGTCACCTTCTCAATCTCAAAACAAAACAAATTAAGAGTTTCAAGTTTGACAAAACTCATACATGCACAATCTATTATAGGCATTATCATATACACTTCTTTAGAAAGATTTTTTCACTCCTGAACTCTAGCTAAATGCAAAAACTGGGCCAACACCTTAATGATATAAAACTTGTCATAATTTATATAAAATCTAGATGGGATAATGTGGTAACTTGCACTTTAACATTTCAACATGAGAATAGAAACATTTCTCTGTGACTGCTGAATTCTTAATGCTTACCTCGAAGTTTGAACAAATGTGCCACAACAGGAATCGCCCGCAGAGAGATTAAACTGCATTTCATGATTTCCAAAAGGCAAGAGGCGACCTTTGTAACAGGTTATATGTGCATGGAGGAACCTTACCTTCTGCCTCTGACAATACTTTTGACACAGTGGTCTCTGTGATAACGAACGAACTGTTGACAGGTCATCCTGATTTCCTCGGGTACAGAGGGATCTGTGTGCCCTGCTGCTTCTCTTCCTCCCCAGAAAAATTCAAGTCTTAAAAAAAAAAAGAACACAAAAAACGCCAGCAAATCAACCAGAGACCTTTTAAAGGAAACTTGTATGAGGCTATGGATACAGGATTTTAAAACAGTGACAACAGAATCTGGTTCAGCATTCACATTTAAGTTTTAATTTATCAGCTGAAATGATTTCCAAGGATCCATCATCTCACTGATCTAATCGCATATTTCATCATCTGCCAAAGACTCTACTGGGAGCCTCTGGGATTTTTGTCATTGGGAATGTCATTAAGACAGTACTAAAAACTCATACGTAGTGAACTGCAATTAGCTCTCCACAACCAGGAGAGAAAAGAAATCTGAAAGATCGAACACACAGAAAATTAAATGCAACATTCAATACCCTTTAAAAATTATTATTGTTAATTATTAAGTTTACAGGTGTGAGTGTAAAGATTCTATTTACCTTCGCTTGAATGGTAGAATGATTAAATGCTTATCTAAGCCAAAAATGCCAAAGCAAATGAAGCCCTGGAGGGAAAAAATACAGAAAAAGCAACATTAAGCAAAACCTTTGGTTTCTAAAGGAGAGAAACAAAATGTTAAAAACTCATTCCCAAAACACATGAAGAGTATCTCTCTTCCCTAGATATAATTCAAAACCACCTTTTTTCTGCTTTGTGTTTTTCATTTGGGCCTTAAAATGACCAATTCATACATAAAAATCCATCGAAGAAACTCTTCAAGAAACAGTCTGGGAAACGTAATGCTGTGACGTGCCATCGGACACTTAAGGAAAACTGGCTAGCCTCACGTAGCCAGTTATTTAAATCTGTCTTTGTTAATGTCAAGAAAAGAACTGACTTACTGTAATTTGAAGGCTAGAATACTCTCTAGTTACTTCCATTTTCTGTGCCACTTCTGTATCAAAACTGCTGTCATTACTTGACACTACAGCGCATCTCGTAGGCAACCTGCCATGGATCCGCCAAACACTCCTCTCGTGTGCGTAACACCGCTCTGCTTTCACCTGCACAGCTGGCAAAGCCACCTTGTGCCCGCCTGCACTGAACCGGGCTCTGCACTGCTGAAACAACACGACAGCCAACTGTCAGCTGTCACTCAACGGTGCTGTAACCCAGACTGAAGAGATAATAACTTAAAGCCTTATAGCGAAGGTATCCATGTAGCCAGCTTGCACTTATTTAGTTATACTGGGGTAACTCCACAAAAGTAATAGTGGTGAAGGTTTCTGGTACAAATAAGGCTAAAACCCCACTCAATTTCCAGAGGCATTTGGCATTCAGTTGTCATTTGTACCTTTGAAAGTGTTCCTGCACATGAAAACATGCATTTTGATAAGAAAGCTACCAGAGCAAAAGAGGCAAACCAACAATAAGGAGCTGGGGACTTCAGCACTGTTTGCAGACTTCAACTTACAGAACCTGTAACAGCATATGCTGCAACACCCACAAACAAAATAAGTTTCAGAACAAATGTTGATAAGTACCTGACCAAAATTAAACACAGCACAGAAGAACTGCAACTCCACGTAGAGCCTTCCAGGCTCTTGGTTGAACAGCCACCACAAACAGCTGGAAAGATTCTGTTAAGAAAAAAAACAACCACAAACCTAACCTGACTGTTAAAAATCAAAAGCATTTTCTTATTCTTCACATGCTAATAGATTCTTGCACAATTTTCACTGTCTTTATTTAACAAACTATTCCAATAAAGACAAGTAAGAGGAAACAAACACCTTTAAACATCATTTTAGCCTTAACAGCTGGGGAAAGGAGGAAGAGCTTGTTTGTTTTTAAACAAAATAATGCAAAACATAGCAGAGTAGAGGTCCTGTCCCTCGGCATGTTTACATTAGGAACTTGCCTTAAGCACACTTAGGTATTCAGTCGAACACAGACAATGTGAGCCCAGACAGATCTGCAGTATTTGTTTTTAGCCTTGTTTAGCCGAGACCGGTGCTTTCTACATATTTCCTGCATAGTTAGGATTGTGCTAGGCTGAAGCACATACCACTTCAGCTATTTTAGATGCCTGATGGAGGCAAAAAACCTCCCAGGTTAACCCCTTTGTGTGTAAAGGCTAATTCTTTAATGTAACTGGCCTTGTTTCCTAGTATTTATATAGTCATTCAAATGCAACTAAAATAGAGGCTCACATTTGGGATGCCTCTTAAATATAGATGTAAAAAAAAAAAAAAAAGTATTAGCATGGAATACTTGATACAGGAAATCTGTGAGAGAGAAAACTTCCATTTTGTCCTTTAACAGAACCTGAAAAGCAACAGCAGTAGGTATCACTCTACATAGTTGTGCCACATTGTCCTGCTTTGCAGTATTAAGTATTTGTGCCACCTTTTTTTCCACTTCAGATGAAGAAACTGCTGGCCTAACTGTCATCCACAAGAAGCTCAACATTGAGTGTTACATTCAAACAGAGAGAGCTGTTTCTCATCTTTGTCACTGTTAAAAATTCAAATTATATCCCTAGGCATTACATTCTGGTATTCCACACTTTTATACAGGAGCAGCCACCTTCACAGCTGGGATCCAGTCAGTAATGACGTGTGACAACTTAGCTACTTGCCTCCAAACCACCACTAAAAGTAACAAAATTTAATTTTCCCATTTCAGATAAAGTCTTACATTATTCTTCACCACTAAAGCATCTCAGAGAAATCCAAATTCCAAATATAAGCACAATCGGAACAATTTTTGTACAGTCTCCTTCAGAAGCAGAATTCACTTCATATTTTTAATTATTGTCTAGGGAAGACAACTAGCTCTTGAGGGCAGAGGGAAAGCAGTGATGAATTAATTACAAAATTATATAACTCCATTTTTTTTCCTCTTTAGGGCTCTTTAGCATGCCTTGCTCACTAATATCATTAGTCTTAACTTGCCTTTAATTAATTATGTGGCACAGAAAAAATAATTTTAAGATATCCCACTTCCAGTAAGCGATGAAAATAAAGCCTCTATAATTCATTTCATGAATTGTTACAAGAGTAATTCTAAGATTTCTACTGGATTGTCTGCATAGCTTTCCCAAAAAACATCCCACCTCAATGAGTTAAACAACATGGGGAGAAAAAAGTATTTACAGCAAACAGGCCAACTATAAGAAGCAAGCACAGCAGCACGTGTCTGGCCAGCTGTTTGTCTCCGGTCTGCAGAAGCTGCTCCTCCTGAGCCAATACGCAGGTCTGAGCACTGCAGCGACTCACACACTGATCAGCTGAAAAAATAAACCAGAATTTTTCATTAGGCTTCTAACTTACTAACTCCACCAGCAAACTTGTTAACATAACTTGCTGAGTTAAGCTACTTTGTAAGGGTCTGTACTGAAGTCACACACACAAAATTTAACACGTTTTGACGATAACCTGTTCAGACATCTATTCTCAAACGAAACAGCAGCTTATGCATACTCCTAAAATGAAGAAACTTTTTGTGACAGAATTCCTCTTTCAAAGGTTTAATGCAAATTTAAGTTGTGGTTAACATTTAGAAAACCCTACTGGAAATAATGAAAGGAGAGCCATTCCTCAGACCAATTTTAATCTTGGAAGTCATTTCTGGAATAATTATCTCAAATATACCATCATCTCTGTATCTCAGTGATGTTGAGCTCTAAATTAGACAACAAACAACTTATTTCAGTTCTGTGACTATATTTTTAACATGGTATATCAGAATACTAGCAGAATTCTATCAATCAAAAGAGACGAACATACAGATGCTTGTCCTCCAGCTAGAGTTCTAAGGAATTCTGGGTATATTCCTCCAGATGGCAGTGAAAAGCTTCCTGGCAAGGACATACCTAAGAATTTGCATCAGGTACCTGTCGTAGCTGCTCAGTAGGATAGTAGAAGGACTCATAATTATTGCAGCCAAGGTTACACAAGTGCGACCATTACAACTTGCTTTTAATGATTTACAGTTATGAAATGTTCACACAGTAGGTCGAAAAAAACCACTCGATCACAAGGTATCTTCTACCTTATCTTTTAGGAAAAGAAAATTAAACTGGCCTTCCTCTACCATTGGAGGACATTCTTATGGTGCTTGTCTGAATACTTAACAGATAAAATTGTTGGCAACAGGTGGAAAGTTAGCATTTGGTGAGAGGAAATATAACTAAGTACATTTCAGTGTGATTTATATAATCATAGAATGTCTTAGGTTGGAAGAGACCTTAGAGATCATCTAATCCAACCTCCCTGCCATGGGCAGGGATACCCTTAACTAGACCAGATTGCTCAAGGCCTCACCCAACCCAGCCTTGATCACCTCCAGGGAGGGCACATCCACAGCCTCTCTGGGCAATCTGTTCCAGAGTCTTGCCACCCTTGTACTGAAGAAATTTTTCCTGAGATCCAATCTAAACTTATTCTCCTTCAATTTAAATCCACTTCCCCTCATCCTATCACTGGACACTCTTGTAAAAGTCCCTCTCCAGCCTTCCTACAAGTTCCTTCAGGTATCAGAAGGCAGTTATAAGGTCTCCCCGCAGTCTTCTCTTCTTCAGGCTGAACAATCCCAGCTCCCTCAGCCTATGGCACCCCCTCCCTCAAATGAGTTCACCACACCACACAGCTTGGTGTCGTTGGCAAACTTACTGGGGGTGCACTCGATGCCGTTGTCCGTATCGCTGACAAAGATGTTGAACAGCACTGGACCCAGAACCGACCCCTGAGGAACACCGCCTGGCACTGGTCTCCACGTGGACACCAAGCGGTTGACCACAACTCTTTGAGTGTGACCCTCTAGCCAGTTCCTTAACCACTGAGAGGTCCATCCATCAAGTCCATGTCTCTCCATCTTAAGCAGGACAGTGTCAGACACCTTGCATAAGGTCCAGGCAGATGATGTCAGTTGCTCTTCCCATATCAACCAGAGCTGTAACTTCGTCATAGAAGGCCACCAAATTAGTCGGGCACGATTTGCCCTTAGTGAAGCCACGTTGGCTGTCGCCAATCACATCGCTATTTTTCATGTCCCTTTGTACTGTTACCAGGAGGATCTGCTCCATGATTTTACCTGGCACAGAGGTGAGGCTGACTGGTCTGTAGTTCCCTGGATTGTCTTTGCTTCCCTTTTTAAAAATGCGGGTTATGTTTCCCTTTTTCCATTCTGTGCGAACTTGACTGTCATGACTTCTCGAATATAATGGGTAGTGTCTGAGCAACTTCAGCCACCAGTTCCTTCAGGACCTGTGGGTGTATCTCATTAGGTCTCTCATCAGGTCCCATGAACTTGTGCACCTTCGGGTTCTCTAGATGTTCCCAGACCTGATCTGCTCTTACATTGGATGGTTCTTCACTCTCCCAGACCCAGCCAATGCCCTCTGTGACTTCGGTGGTGTGGTGCAAGTGGTTATCAGTGAAGACTGAAGCAAAAAAGTCATTGAATACTTCAGTCTTCTCCATATCGCTGGTAACCAGGTCACCTGTATTGCTCTGGAGAGGCCCCACATTCTCTTTCTTTTCTTTTTTCTTTCACACACCTGTGGAATCCTTTTCTGTTATTTTTAATGTCCTTGGCCAGATTTGATTCTGTCAGGGCTTTAGCTTTCTAACTTGATTTCTAGTTTCACAAGCAATCTCCTTGTTATCATCCCAGGTTTACCACTGCTTGCTTCCACCCTTTGTGGATTCTCCTTTTGTGTTTGATTTTGGCCAGGAGCTCCTCGTTCATTCATATTGGTCTCAGCATTTTTGCCTGATTTCTTCCTTTTAGGAATGCAGTGCCTTTGAGCTTGGAGGAGATGATCTTTGAAAGTCAACCAGCTCTCCTGGGCTCCCCATCCCTTTAGGGTTTGTCCCATGGTATGCTACCAAGGAGATTCCCGAAGAGGCCAAAGTCAGCTCTTCTGAAGTTGAGGGCTTTGAGCTTGCTGAGCATCTGCTTCTTTGCTGCCCCTAGGATCTTAAAACTCCATCATATCATGTGGTCACTGCAGCCAAGGCTGCCCATGAGCTTAACACTGGCCACCAGCCCTTCCCTGTTGGGGAGAACAAGGTCTAGCACGGCACCTCTCCTCATCTCTATCACTTGGAGGAGGAAGTTACCATCAATGCATTCCAGGAATCTCCCGGATTGCTTATGCCCTGCTGTGTTGTCTCTCCAACTGATACTGGGGCGGTTAAAATCCCCCAGGAGGACCAGCGCTTGTGAAGGAGCAGCAACTCCTGTCTGTCTATGAAGGGCCTCATTCACTTGGTCCTCCTGGTCAGGTGGTCTGTAGCAGACCCCCACTGTAATGTCTCCTACACTTCCTTTCATCCTGGCCCCCACTCTTTTCAACATCACTTGCCAGGTACAGCTCCACGCATTCTAGTTGTTGACTGACAAAGAGGGCAACACACCCTCCTCGTTTCCCTTCTGTCCTTCCTTTGTTGGATGTTGCATCCAAACAAAGCATAAGGACACAAACTTCCTCGTTAAGGGTGCAGAAAAACAACAAAAAAAGAAAATAGGAAAAAGGGAAAGGCTGCACTGCAGCTAGCTTTTATTACTGAAAGCGATGCACAAAGAGAATGGGCTGAGCATGCAGCTTTCCATCAGGTGCTGAACAGCCATTCTGATCCATTTTTTCTATTTCACTAACTCCTAAGGCCCCCTTAGTGAATTTTCCCTCTCTCTCTCCCCTAGACAGCAGCAAGCATTTTTGATTTAATCTGCAGTAAGTGCTTGCTCCTCTCGACCTCATTCAAGCTTCTCACTCAAAGCCTGTGCACGATTGCAACATAAGTGCTTCAAAGGCCTTTTTAGAAGATCACAAAATTACAGTACGTTAGGGGTTGGAAGGGACCTCGAAAGATCATCTAGTCCAACCTTCTTGCCAAAGCAGGATCACCTACAGTAGGTCATACAGGAACGCGTCCAGGTGGGTTTTGAATGCTCCAGAGAAGGATGCAAGATGTGAATATGAGAACGTAAAAAAAGCGTGTTTAAATTGAAAACTTGGGGCAAAGTAGGGCTACATGTTCAACTTTCCAGCATCCAAACAAGGCAATGATGGAGAGGTAATGTCTGAATGCTCAGAGGGACATGTTCAGAGTAGCTTAGCAATTAAAAAAAACCACAATCCAGAACAACTGTCCATCCTGAGCACTGAAAGTTTACTAATATCTTTCAGGCAGAAGAGAAGAAACACCTATGGTATTTCCTAATGCTTGAAATTAAATTGAAAATAAGTTATCCAGGTAAAGCTGAGAGAGCAGCCCGAACAGTTTCTTTGTGAGAGCACACATTGTAGCATTTAAAACAAGGAGACACTATTGCCTTACCTGTCTCAATTGGAGGAACCTTGCATTCAACAGCATTTGACACTGCATTGCTCTCTCTAGCACAGGATAATTCCCCATTTGTTGTTTGACAAGAACAGCAACCTATTAAGTGCATACAGTAATAGGACAGTTAGCTTCCTTCATTATCGTAATTTATTTTCCAAGTATAACAATATATTCTATACAGCTTTAACTGTTATGCTCAAAAATAACCCAACAGGAGAAAGTAGACTTGATTTTTCCCATTTTCTGAGAGGGTAAATGGGTTATACTGCTAACATGTAGAAATATTTAGCATAGCCCTACCACCATGGAAGCAACAAAAGTATTTTCAGCTAGAGGGAAAACATACAGGAGGTGATCAAAAAGGCTACATACAAACAAGCAGGATTAGAAACACATTGAATTAGATGCCAGCAGTGTTGCTACTCATTCTCAGAGATGGTTTAGTGGGTAAACAATCTAAGACGTCTACTGGACTGCATTTATCACATCTTTATCAAGATACCACTACTTACATAAAAGCCACACTTTTTTTTTCCCTGTCCACTTCCCCTACTCTTACAGTGATAAACATCACGCTTTCCTTAAAAACATAAACCTAAGTCCTTGGGCAGTTATATCTAGATTTTCTTCCATCCTAGTGTAACGCTAGAAGGTGTAAATAACTGCCCTTCCCAGGTCAGAATTAAACCTTGTATACCAAGCCATTTACTCCTTCACAGATCTACTTTCTCTACCTCTTTCTGCAGAAGATCCTGGAGAAGGTTGTGCAGAAGACCCTGGAGAAGGCTGAGGCATGGTGGCTGAAACTTGATTCCTCTCACTCCCTCCCACTTCAACCTCCTCCACTTGGCTACGTGGTGAATACGGGTTCAGCACCTCATAGCTTGACTCTTGTCTACTTCTGTTCATGCACATAAGTGAGATACCTGACATCAATATACTGATGAACAGGATCACTGCTGTGGTAATTATCTGTTAGGAGAGCAAAGAAAACATACTTGAATGCAAAATAAAAGAAAATGGTTGTATATGTCTATCTTTCTTACTCCCGTACTTTCCTAAAATGCTAACAAATGCATCCGAATAAGAGTTTACTATATTTACTGCTTTCACATCTTGTGGCATTGAAAGAGCAATCAGTACATGAGATTAACTAATTTTTCTTGCCAAGCAATTAATCTTTTTCTTTTTTCTTTTTTAATAAGTGGAGACCCTTATTCCCATGCAATCCAAAAACATCTCCTCATCATCATAATCTTTCCCTTCAGATCATTAGTGCTCCAGTTCAAGTTCTGTTGTGTTTATTCCAAAGAGGAATGTGTTTTTGCTACCCACTGGCACGCTCTAAATTCCATGCTTTTGCCAATGGAAGCATCCTAGTAATTAACCTTTCCTTCTAATCATCTACCACCAATACCCTGAGTCCACTCTGAGGCTATTTAATACTTGTGGAAACACCACATGAATAATCTTGAAAGACTCATAGGCTCTCTGTCCCTAAGACAGACAGAAGGAAAACAGGACAAATAGCTATGCTAGTGCTCTTTCCATCTTCTGATGAGAGGAATTATTTACTGGTAAAAAGATGGTAGTTCAAGCTCAGGGACTTTCAACCCATGATTGTGTAGAGAAGATTCCCACAGTGCAAGTAGTTACTGCTACACAGGTAATACAGATCCTATCTATTACAGACCAAAAGCCATTAATTAGTTATTGGATAGTAACAATTTCTGATAATTATCAGGCGAGACTAGAAATTAGTCACCAGGAAAAGGGCTCTGCAATTCATTACCACTCCTAAGCCTTTTCTTTAGCCTACTCCCTCTTTTTCTTAGTCATGGTTGCCTAAACGTGAAGGTCCTTGCTCAGACAAGTTTTCCTAATGGTTCATTACAGGAATACATTTTTGCATCAATCTATAAGCATCCTATAATGATATTGTTATTATGGCAGCCTACACTTGGACTGAAAGCCACTTACATACGAAGCAAACAAAGGACAGTTTCTCAGTAATGTATTGGACATGGCAGAAGCGTGAAGGAGGACAGAACATATTTATACCTGATATTTTCCATAGAAAAAGGCAGAGTCAATACTAGTGTTGTTACATTCACCAACAATTAGTAAGATTCCCACCAGAAGTGTTGGAACTCTGAAAGAGCAAAACAGGAACAAAGTAACGCATCTAGCACATTCCCATTAATTCTACAGGGAAATATCTGAACTAACTTACCCCCATCCAGCGATGATAATAAACCCAATGGGAATCTTGACTGTTTCTCTCTTCCTCAACAGAAACAAAGAGAAAGATAGAAAACCTAAAAAAAAATAATCAAAAAAAAAAATTGAAGAAATGCCTTGTTGCAACCTGCTTAGTAACTATGATATTCTTCTCAAACCTTCAAATAATCCAAAATTGTTTTTCCATTTGGATTCTGAGAAAATAGAAACACCTATTTTCTTTAAAAATTATACTGATAATGAAGCACTGAAGAAATTTCAGGATATTTTAAATTTAAACATCCACTTCTAAATGCTTAGAACGATTCACATAAAAGATAAGGTCATATAAAATACATCATAAAAACATTTAAGACACAAGTAATTTCTTACGGTATTAACAGCAGTTGTTCTACACTAAGTAATCAACAATGCTGCATTGTTATAGCATTGTTTAAAAAATTGACTAGTCCTTTACAAAGTCCATGATAAATTTAACAAAAAAGGTTCACTTATATTTACATATGACTATATATGGGTGCATCTTCTGGAACTACCTGTTCTATTCACAACTCAGACGGTCAGCAACATCGCCCATGCTGTAGCAAGGCTAGCGCTTATACTAGGCTATACTAATCACAAGCTACCTATTTCAACTAAACACAAGTACAATTTACTCCACAAAAGCACCAGAGGAATTAAATCCTTAGATTTAAGGGTTTATTAAGAAGTCTCCTTTGTGATCATATGCGTAAGGTTCTCCAAGCTTCTTGATGCATCTCTCAACTCCGCTTATTTCAAGTAATTCCTTCCTTAATCATCTACACCTGCGGAACACACACACTAGTTTTATAAATTACAAATGCCAGCGGAAAGAAATAGTAAAGCTACTTGGGTATTTCCCTTCATTCAGTATTTCCTACTTTTCTGAGGCACAAAGCTTTAAAATCTACTTAACTTTGAATAGTTCAAATCTTAAACCTTGCATTAATTAAAAATCGCCAGTAAGATTTTGACTGGCTCAAGGACAATCCACCGCATTCACTCTCTTCCTAATTGCTTCTGCCTCGAGAGCAGGTTCTTGCCTTTCGTTACAATCTGGAAATCTGGCAAATCTGCTGTATCTAGCAAAGGCAAACAGGACCTGCCCTAGGTATAAGCTTCCAAGAGCAGAATCAGAGTCTGAAGCTGAGCCCTGGGTTGTTCACACTGCAGCCTGGCACAGCTTACACGTATGTGTATCTGGAGAACCACATACGAGTGAAAAGAACTGTTATGCTGAGGAATGTAATGGAAGGTATTTCAATACATTAATCTTTTATTACAGTACCCAGGTTCTGCCTAGAAAGATCATACCTGTCCACAGGTACGTGCTATAAAGCGCACTGTAGAGGAATATAAATACAAGGATCTGCAGAGTGATGTCTTTCTCTTTAATGATGAAATTCCACGCCACCATTCCAATGCAAGCAATAAACTGGAAAGTAAGATGCCATTGTTTAAACTGGGAAAGCAGGATGACAAGAAAAACTGAACACAGTGTAATATAGCTACAATAAGCTTCAAAAATCTACCCCCAGGATTCACCAGAGTGTGACATTATGAATTGTACGGTTCTCATGGCAGGAAAGCACTGCAGCAGTAAATTCAATATTACAGTTATGTCACTGACTGTGGTACCCTATTTTCAGCAGGTTTTTTCCTGACAGCAGTTACATAGCTCAGATAAACTGTAAGGCAAATCAGGAAAAAAATATATTATTTATTTATCTTACTGTAAGTAAAATGTAAAGCTTTTGTTATGTACAAACCATTTATCTGAAATGATTTTGACATGAAGCTGAGGTCAACAGATGCTTGTTCACCAAACAATTACACAAGTTTTCACCCAGAGATACTGGATATATAACAGTTTCAGTAGTGAACGAATCTGAAAAGACAGGCTGAAATATTATGGAAACAGTAATAGAAAACTTCAAAAATTTTTAAGATGGAAGCTAACTTTGCTGTTACAGACAACAAGTGCCTGCAACTCTCATACATTACTTCTTTCAAATGTGACTCCATGGTCAGACCTCAGTGAGTTTACTACATACATACTTTGATATTTTAAACTACAGAACGCTTCAGAAAACACTACCACACAGATATATTACAAGCAGAGGCTGCTCTAACAGCAGTTGTGCAGTTGACTTCAAGGGAAGAGGGAATGTGTACTCTGTAGTTTTCTCCCAGTTTAAATAACAATTAAATCAGAGCTATTTATAGAATCATAGAATGGTTAATGTTGTAAGGGACCTTGAAGATCATATAGTTCCAACCCTCCTGCTGTGGGCAGGGACACTTCTCTCCCACTAGATCAGGTTGCTCAAAGCCCCATCCAGCCTGGCCCTGAACACCTCCAGGGATGGGTCATCCGCAGCCTCCTTGGACAACCTGTTCCAGTGCTTCACCACTCTCATGCCCTTCCCTAGCCACGAGCCATGCATTCCCACATCCCTTCCTTGCATCAGCACTGGCACCTGTGTGATCGCTCAGCAAGCCACTTCAGGGAGCTAAACCATCAGGGGATTAAGTTTTCTATTTAGCTCCTTGAATCAGGTCACCACAGAGTCAAACACACGCTGCCGCTGCTGATCCCGGCATTGCTGCCTTCAGACTGGCACAGACTGACACAGAAGTGCCCTCGACAGTATTAGGCAGTAACTGAAAATGCACTTCAGAAGCCACTCTGCATTCTGATGGCTTAACAGTTCTGTCTGAGAACCATACTGACGGCACCACCAATACTTTTTTCAAGGGTGTATTTTAAGACACAGAAATTGTTTAGACAACATGTTAGAGTCCCCTGCCCTCCACAGACGGTAAGACTTCAAAAAACACCAAAACTCACACAGCAGCATTCCTCTTACTACTGACCTGAGCAACAAGCAGATTTGTTGTAATCATATGTGGAAGCTGTTTGTATTTCTTACTCAGTAGAACAACAATAAGAGACCAAATCTGTAACATACAAGAAAAAATTGAATGTAAGAGTAAAACAAAACTCAAAAGAAAATAGATGAGTATTTTGGCAGACTATGATGAAATTAAATATACAACAAATCTAATTGAAAAGTTTCTTGTCGATGTGACTACAGTAGTCAGCTCCATGCCATCTGCTGCTAGTCCCTATGCCTGAGCAACTATGGCCAGAAAAAGCAATGCATCTTTGCATCTTTCATGATGGTGAAATACTTCCACAGAAGCACTAAGAACTTGCCTCTAGCGCAGAGATGCCTGGCTGTTCCCCAGGGCATAAGTGACCACAGAGCAGTGTGGCAATTTAGAATCTAAAATTACATCCCCCACCCTTGAATCTCCCAAAGTGATCTGTGACAGTAAGAGGCAGTGGCAGCGTTCACTTGTAGCTTCCCTTGAGGCATAGTCTCAAGACAAGAGGACTTTGGTGAGACAACAGATTAAGCAAATTCTAACTCCATCCAACATAGATGCTTTTATTTCAAAAAAAGCAAACAATCTACACTATCTGTAGTGCCTATAAAGTCAAATCACAATTCACATTGAAATTCTGGATTATCAACCCACTTTTTAAGAACAAATTTCTAGGAAAGGAATTTGATAAATCTACACTAAAACTTCCAAGTTAAACATTTTCATTCCGCCTCAAATACTTCATTAAATAAACATTCACTGATGTTTCTGGCATTGAAGTTCACACACAGCCTCCACTACTTTGATATCCAAGCACCTCACATAGCTTGATGTAATTATTCCCTGTGGTGTAAGTTAGTATTGTTATTCCCCAACACCCTGTTATTTAAAAAAAAAACAACCAAAAAACCAAAAGGACAAACTCCTAAGCCCTGCACTAGTGCTCTAATTCTGTTACCCATCTTTCTCTACAGTTCAGCTTTCCAGTTGACCCACCATTCAGTCAAGATTTTTAACTCCTTCCTCATCCTTATGCATTAGGATACGACGAGGAAATGTGAGTCTCATCTCATGATGACTCGTTTTGCTGCCTGTGTACTAGCACTCCCCTGACATGACAAAGTGCTTTTGTATCTCACTTTAGCAACACCTACCAGAGAAATGAGGCTGACAATACTGATGTCAAAGCTAACGTTTTGGAGTGCAGATGCCAGTGGGTTGGGGTCCATTGAAGGAATGGTCAACAGCCACGCAGAAACATACATAATAGGTGCAGACACAAAAGTGCTTATCACCATGCCTGAGGTAATCTGCAAAAAGAGTCAAACAGAAACAAGAAGGGAGTTAATGCGATCTCAGGCTAAATAACCGGCTTTCAGGAATACAATCACTGACAAAATTGTACCTCTGAGTTACACATATGTAGACCTTTAACAAATCACTGAGTTGTTTCTGTAACAAACTATGAATAATTTGAGCCAGTAAGTGTCTATTTTATACAAACAAACTGAAAATTTTAACAAGCTTCTGAAATAGCAGAAATAGAGAGTTTCCTACTGCTAACTCTTACAGAACTTCTTCATGGGTGTCAGATATACTAATGACTACGGTCTAGAGGTGGATTGACAAAGTCACAATTTAGTTTTGGATGCAAATATTCACACTATAAATAAAAACCATGTAGTTATGCAAATACTAATATGCATCAATTCCTGATTCCTCTTTTGGCTTCTCATTGTCTTTCTACTTTCTAGAACTTGCACAATGATGGAAGTGTGAATTTGTAATATGAATTACAGATCTCTGTTTTAAAGAGATTTCCTGGGTTTGTTGCACACAAATTCTATCTTGTAAAGTTTGGTTTTAGTGTCCTGGGTTTTTATTTTTTCTTTAAAATCAACTAAACAAAAAAAAATAATTAAAATCAATGGAAGTCAATAGGAATGTTTTCATGTAATTTCAAGTGGAAGAAAGTAAACAGTTTTAAAATTTGTTTTTGAAGCTGAAAAGATAATTGATATCCTCTACTACATAAAAAAATAAAATAAAATGCATTTCTATTGCAAGATTTAGCTGAAGGGCAACAAAAGAGCTTACCAGTTTTAACAGAACCATGGTAAGTGTAAGTTCTTCCATGAATTTTCAGCACTAAGGTAACACTGTTCTTACTGAAGTCAGTAATATAATTTCTGTTTTTTCTTTCAAAAACAGTAGCTCAAAGATCAAGTCTTCGAAAAAAAAACCCACCACCAAAACAAAATACCCCAAAACCACCCACTACCACAAATCCACAACAAAGATACAAGTTCTTTATATTCAGAGTTATCCTAGTTCTTCCTACTAGAGCCACAAATAAAACACAAGTATGAGGACTTATTTATGAATGTGTACTATCAAGACACTTGAGACATCAGGAAAGAGTAATTTGTTTAATTAATAATCTGAAATATAATTTAGATTTGAGATCTAGGGAGTACAAACAAATCTAAGGACTCTAAGCTACAGAAAAGTAAATTCATCAAGCCTACTTACTTATTTAAGCATTTAATCAACAAAGTTAAGCTCAAAGTTAATACATGTTTGGGAAAAACTAACTACATACAATTCCTACTTCCATATTAAATTGACTCGCAAATATTGCGACACCAGGTGCTGCTGGAAAAACTCCATAAAGAAATGCATAGTTTGATAAACTGGTGTGGTTGACTATGTTGTCGCTCTTGTCCAAGAGTTCCACCATTTCTCTACAGAGAAAAGGCATCATAAGTCTGAAAAGAGAAGGAAAAAATAATCAATAAAAATAAGTACTTAAGCTATAGCAACATTCTTCTTTACTCAAAAAATGAACCAAAAGGAAATTTTCAGGCTTGTTTGAATACAATTGATGAAAAGCAAAATAACAACATCACTTTGAATAAGTGCTTTAACTGTTACTGTGACATGTACTGGCTGCTTAAAAATTTTATGTCACAAGTTAAAAAAAAAAAAAAATCCATACGCACAAAAAACCCCCAAACCATAAAAATGACAATAAAATGCACATTCTCTGATTGTGCAGACACATTGTATAAACTCAGATTTAGCATGGTAAATTTAAAAAGAATCCTCATTTTTTAACTGTTAAAGTAAGAGCAGCGTTGGAACTTACATGACCTTTCTGCAAGGTGTCTGAAACACAGCAAGGGCTCAAGCTGAAGTATCCCGTTCTGAAAACTCTGGGCAGCAAAAAAAACCCCAAACCTTCTACCAACGCTATTTTGTTCGCCTCTAGTAATACCCCAGATCTCACACAGGCTCCCTATGTTCAATCACACCTTCAAATTTTACAATATAAACTTAAGCACAAAACAATCATTCTATTATGTTAACTGTAGCTCTGGAGCAAATAAAATATTTAGTTCACCAGTAACTGAGATAAATTCAAAGGAAGATAATGATGACAAAAGTTCTAAATACTATCATTTATTCATGCTTAAAAGTCAGATGGCTTAAGAGCGTAAACCGATTGTTTTTAAGCTCTTGCAATACAGCTGTTTCAAAGGTTTATAGACAAAATAACAAAAATCAACTAATTTGGAGATGCATCGAACTATGCAGCGAAAGTACAAACACTAATCAAATAACACTTAAAATCACTGATTTTTTTTCTCTCTGCAGACCCTGACAACAAGTTTGTGCTCTGCTAAATTTCCTGTAAGTTAAGAACTGTATATTTTTAAAGAGCACCCATCCAAAATAGTGGAAGTGAAACATACTATTATTACTACAGAGATCTTGAATGAAAAGCCATCTGACCAGTGTATTCAGAGCTTAAAACCTCTAGAGAACAAAATTACAAAAGTACATAAAATGAACTTACAGTTTAGCTGTGATGAGAAGGATCAGTGCAACAAACATACCCTTTGTCAGTTTTTTTGTTTGTCCCACCATTGTTAGTCCAAGGTAAAAAAGTGCAGAGCCAGAAAATGAACTGCCCAGTCCATCAAGGAAGTTCTCAAGGTATTCAGGAATTTTCTGGCCAAGAATAAAGTTTGAGGCAATTCCTATGAAGACCATGAATACAATTGGGTTCTGCAAAACTCGAAGGAGTGCTAGGCCCACTATTTTGATTTTGCTGTGTGACACAGTGCGATTATCCCTCCACTTCTGGATTTCACAGAAGATAAACCCCAGAGGGTTTAGCATCATAAGAGATATTGGAGCCACTAGGTAAATGTACTGGAGATATTCAGGGTAAGTGGTTTGATATAAAGCTTCAACTAGAAGACAGGAAATGAAAAGAGATGAGTGATAACATTTCAGTACAAAAATACATTAATATTGAAGTAAAATGTTGCTGTCTGAAAAAATTATTTCATTATCCTTCAGAAATAAGTGCATTTACAATTTATATGATGTAGTAAGAGAAGTATGACCAGTCATCATTAGGCCACAGTCACTTGTTGAACACATTAGAGACCAAAGATTAACTATCCAACACTATTTAATGATTCTATTACTAATCAACATGTGGAGAAAAAAAAAGAAAGAAAACAGTATGACAATCCCATGTGCCCTTTGAGTCACCTCAAACGTTGAAAAGAATTTTGGTTTCTTTCTGAGTTTCTTTTCCTCCCCAGAAACATGAGAGTCATGGAGAATTAAATGCACCTTTGCAGGACACAAGCTACTTCTTATCTCAGAGAAGTCTCACATCTCTGTAATTTAACTAGTTTTCAGTGGGTAAGTCAACCGTGATCTTCCTCCATCGATTCAATACAACACAGCAAAGCAGCAACCAAATAAAAGCACATCATCACGTAACTATTAGTTCATTCTTTGGGACTTCTCAGGACAAGAGTTATTGCTCTAGTTCTGGTCATGCAAGGAACTTTAAATCACGAGCATTTATTTTCATTGCTACTACATGCTTCTGACTCAAGGCAAAATTACTTCATACTGCAAGTTTGTGCTAACAGCACTTCAAAAGTCACAAAAAGACTCTGAAAAGATACACAAGAGGGTGAAATAAAAAACTCCAATGTTTTTAAAATAGGATGTTATCTCTTACCAGTATTATATCGAATAAGTTTCAGAAATACACATAGTGATGTTTTCCATTTTAGTCTTTCCTATCCTAGTTAGAGAGAAACACATTCTTCCTCGAGCAAAAGCATCTTAATAGGCAGGCACAACTCTACTTGTACTACAAAGAATATAAAAAAAATAAAGCACTACCACACAAATACACCTACTAGACCTTTCTACAAGATAATTTAGCACTCCAAGTACTAAATCACTATGCAGCCAACTGTTGCATGCATTTTCATCTCCCCATATACTAAACCTGTTCTTTTTCTGAAGAAATTTTCCCTTACGGCTATTGTTTTCAAAATCCAAAAGATTTTTACCTCTATTACTTTTACCTCTATTTTACCTCTATTATTTAAGCATCCGGAATGATGGGATCTACTAAGTGCTGAAAATCAGTATTAAGTATAAACAGTCTCCTCTCTAAATTGAATAAATAAAAATCTCAATTAATTTATTTCAAATATAAAAGAAAAGACACTAAAGGTGCTTTGTCTCTTACATCCCATGATTAAAGAACATACATAAGAGCTATTTGTTGTAAAATCCTGAATAAACCGCTGGACAGAACTACCAAGTTTGTGGATAGTTACTTGATTTAACAAGCCAGTTTTAAACACTGAGTATGTTCTGATAAATAAAAGCACTTTTAACATGCTGGACGGTTTTTATGTATGTAATTTTTTTTTCAAAAATCTCAAACCTTAGAGTGACGTTTTTATGCTGCCTTATACAGAATGCCCATTTTCGCGATATGCAACTCAACACAAGTCATATGTAAACGATGCCAGAGGGAAAAACGTAACAATTATTCTTTTTTGGCAAATTGAAATTCTACATTTAATCCAATATATTGTACTTTAACTGATATATTAAGTCACAGTGCATTTTCCTGTGTAGCAAAAAGTGGAACCAATCTAGATTATAGAGTCAGTGGGTGAAAAAAACCCGAGGAAATCACTCTCAAGGAACAGAGAAAAAACCCCACAACTTCTATCTGTGATGAAAAAAATAATTTTTATTTAAACCAAATTGCCTGCCTGCTGATCATAATAAAACCCTGAAATAAAAAATCGGTAATACTTGAAAAAAAATCAATTCTCCACATCCCCACTGCTCAAAATTACATATATATCACACACTGGTTACCCATGATTAAAACAGCACCATTAAAGCCATGGAAATTGAGCCATCACACACACAAGACTTCTGCTACACCTGTGCTTAAACAATACAGCACCACAGAGTAGAGGAAGCTGTTCCGAGTTGTATGATCCCACCCAGTAATAAAAACTAACCAGACAAAGCTGTTCAGCGTAGTGATGCTATTTACATCGGGGCGGTGGTGTGCTAGCAAACCCCTGTACCGCTTGCTTTGCACCCCAACGTCACTTCATAGTATTGAACTGTCATTAACAGTGATTAAAGGAAAACAGAGTGGTGATTTTTGAAAATGTAACCTGCAGTTTAATCTTCCTATGTGCAAATCTTCGTTAAACAGCAAAAAATATCATAGTGGTTATTAAAGAAATTACATAGGATGAAAACTCAGGACATTATTTATTTATTTATTCAGGGGTTCAAATTGTCTTTTAAAATAATGCTATTATAATACACAGATTTGTCAATATTGACTTTTTCCTTTGCACATTTCAACTGAATCAGCCTTTAAAAAAATGTATTTCCATTAAAAGACCAGATTTTTCTCAAAACACTACCTGTCACCATCACCCATTCCTGCAAACACTTCAGAGAAGCCATTGAACAGTGAAAAATTTGCAGTTGACAGCATGAACCAAACACTGATAAAAGTTTGGGAGTGGGAAACAGGAAAGGACTGGAAAGGAAATAAACAGCTCTAAGAAATACGCAATGCTTAAACACCTACAGAGTTATTGTTAAGTACTCCAGAAAAGCTCTTAATGCACTAAATGTTGTGAATTTGGCCAGACCGTACACCAAAAAAATACAAATAGCATCTTACAAATAATTAAATATACGAAGAAAAATGTAACCTGACAAGTTATTCAAAGTACAAAGACTGTTTTAACTAGAAGGATACAATGGAAATACGTTCAGGCAACCTCAAAATAGAGAAAAAGAGAAACCCTAATTGGCATTTTAATCCGGTACCAAGAAACAAAGACATAATCCTCACAGCCCTATTTGTAATACACTTCTGATTTCCCTTAGTTGCATCTCCTGAAGTTTATTCCTCTTGAGAGAAACAGTATTTTTATCTAAGGAAGAAAACGTTGGCAATTGCATTTGTTTATATTTTACACTTATCCAGCAAATTTGAAGTGAGCAAGAAAGACTCATGATTCTCTTGAGCCCTGGAACAGGGAGAAAGAAATTGCCAACTCCTCAAGTTATCGAAAACACAGAGCTACTTGTTACATATAATCTGGAATTGCATGCTTATGCTTCTCTTTTGGAACCATATTTTCAATTCTGTAATCAAACATCTTGCTTTCTGCTTTGCCAGAACAAACTTACTTAATTTTTTTTTGTTCTTAACCTTGCACAGATGCTAAGCGTCGCCTCAAGAGAATTTGAAAGGCACTGAGTACTTTCAGTGAGCAGCAAACAAGCAAAACCTAGTCCTGGCATCCTCTCCAAATGCCTTCCCCTCGAGGTGTATCTTGGAGATCCCAATACGTGCAGCGTGCACACCCACATCAGTCACACGGGTCAGTCTGGGAAGAGTCAGCACTGAAAGCTACACTGGCACAAAAGAGCCTCCCAAGGCAGGTAAAAAGCACTGCAATTCGGACAGTAGCTGGTGGGAGAAGCCTGCTACAACTTCAGATCGATTCCCAGTATCACAGTACACATGGCTAAAAGCATATCAACTTACCATTAAGAAAAACTATGAAGAGGAAAAAGAAAAAAAAATCATGCTTATCAAAAGGGAAGAAAATAACTGTCTTGCGGATTGTGTATTAAGTTTAATAGCTGATGTTGTTTGGAATTCAGAATACTGTCTTACAAGAACAAGAGTACACAGCTATATGAGTTATACTCTGAATGCCTCTGTGAGTTTGTTTTTTAGCTCCACTGGACTAGTGCTTGGTTACACATCCCAGGAATGGCACCACAGCCACGTCCTAATACACCAAAATGCAAGTTACCAAGAATTATGCAACAATCTTATTTTTAAAAGACTGACTTCTTCCAAGACGTTATCCTAAAGCATGTCTGGTGGCCACACTAGAACGCAGATTAAGGGACAAAAGATAATTGGCTACCTAAATTATGTCAAGTATCACAACAATTAGAAGTTTCTTCTAAACAGATTTGGAGTTCGTCACACAGAGTCCACAAACAGTAGGCTCCAACATTATGGCTAAATGTGTTCCTTGAGCTAAACCAAGAGGTAATGCTAAACAATAAAGAACCCACTAAAGCTATTTCAGAGACCATAGGTACAGGCTCAATACTTCGTAATGCAAGGAATTGTGATCTGGAGGGAAACTGATGATTTTCCTCATAGGAAATTGCCTGCAGTAAGTGTAAGGTAATTTATACCAACTTAGAAGTTCTATCTTAATTCCTTTTTTTAAAATCTAGTTTACTTTACCATGACAAGATCATACAGACAATAGTAGTCAGATCGTTTTACATTCTGCCTCATTGATAGCTTCGATACCTCATCAACTCAGTTCACAAGTCCATTTTAAATTATGGAAAAATAAAAGCAAACGTGTCTAGAACACTGAGAAATAATTTTAAAGAATAAAGCAAGCTTACCTATTGGATATCCCAGTGCAAAGTCATTGCTTTGTGTAGCAAAAATAGGGAACAAACCCGCTTTGCTAAATCGATTCTCAGGACTGGCTACCAACAACGTTAAAACGCAGACTAAAAAAAACACAGCAGCTTTGGCAACTAAAATACTGTACAGGAAGGACCAATTCACATTGGAAAAGTGAAGTACTACCATGTTTTTGAAGAGTAGAGCTGGAAGTGCAAAACGGGACACAAAATTTCCCAGTCCTTTGGCCTGAGTTGAAGTGATAATGTTGGCTCTTCCAGCTATATAGCCACAAAGAATTATTCCAAAGCATTCTAACAGGGCTGGGAAAAGCCTGCTTATCGACATAGAAGGAAGGCCGCCGGTGGCATTGAGTCCAACTTGTCCAGGCAAAGAAACAGACATATTAGCTGAAGACGAGAGGTTCTTCGCATTGAAGTCTGAATAGCTATCCATTTCCTTTGACCAACTCTTTCAAAACAAGGGTATGAAATGATCTCATCTGTAAAAGAAACAAAAGTATTTATTAACTTCCAAAATTGTGTTTGGGAATATTTACAGTATTAAGCTTTCTGATAGAAGAATTTACACTTACAAGTGTATATTACAAATAAATAACAAAACAAACAGTAAGTAGATAAAGACAAACAACTCTGAGAAAGAAGAATGCTGAAAAAGCATTCCATACACACATCATCTTCTCAATATAATTCAATATGACAGTTGATAAAGGCTAAAAATCTCCAAAGAAATTCAAAGGTAACATTGAAATCTTAAAGATTAGGCATTCAAAAAGCAAAAAATCTGATGGAAGTAAAGCAGATAAACCAAGGATTTTTTGCACTATTTATTCTAGGATCTAAACATAATTTAGAATAAATTGCAATCCTTCAGCACTTCCCAGTCATTGTTTCAGAAAAAGTAATTGCTAAATTCTCAGTGTATAGTCCTCTCTTTCCTAGATTATTATTATTACAAGCCTAGTTAACTCTCAAACAGAAAAGCACAGGATTCTCTATGCACTCATCTGTAGTTTGTAAACTCCTTTACCTCCTCAGCTTGCTGTCAATTCTCAACTACAATTCTCACATACTCTTTGCTTTCAACAATCAAATTTTTAGTTTTTCATTTTGTTTGCCCCAGAATATCTTATCTCGGCTCTTCTCTAAACCATGTCCTACTTGGTTCTTTTTCCTTCACAGTAAAAATAAACTTTGGACTCCCAATATCAAAATCCCATTCCTGACTTCCCTTAACATTGGTGTTCACCTCTGCTTCCAGGTGCTCAGCTTTACGCATGGTCAAGAGTCCTCCCTCACCTCCACCCTTAGATCCTATTTAATCCAGGTACTGCCCCTGAAACAACTCTTACCAAAATTCCGGAGGCCAAAATCTTCTTAAACCCTCAGAACCTGTGTTCCATTTTCAGCCTTTGGGACTACTATATACCTTTTTCAAGAAGAGAATGACTATGGTATTTTGCCTTTCCCACATCTTTTGTAATTATGGCACCTCCTAATTGTCCTCCCATCTCTTCTTGTGCCTACAACATTTACAGGGAAGGATCTCTTTAAATTTCTGTGGGTGCTGATATAGTTCCTTCTTTGTTCCTCTTTTGTCTCCCTACACTCTCTGCCCGTGTATTTTCATAAATGCTTTTTCAGTTATAAATAGATGACTCATAGATCACTCTTTCTAATCCAGACTATTTCTTCTGTTAGAACTACCATTCCAGTCTGTATTTTGTGGCTGTCAACTCAAGTCCAACGAGCCTGAAACTGTCATCCTCCTCTCCCCAAAAGATGCTCCCTCAGTCTCTCTCTCTCTCTCTCTCTACTCAGTATGTTAGAGGTGAGTTACTAAAGTCTATCAGTATCAATCCTTTTTTTGTACATCCTTCTACAGATTCACTCTCCATACATGAAGACCCCCTTGCTTTCACATTATTTTACAGTATAAGTTTCTGGCCTCTTAATCTGTTACAGAATAACAAGAGGAACAGCCCCTACAAGAACTGAGCACCAGGCAAGGAAGACAAACTGGACTAAGAATCATAGCTTCTCCACTCTGGCATAAAAGCATTTGGCAAGACCCTCTCTAACTTCAAGAAAGATTTAGAGATCAAATCATGGTACCACCTTTCAAGCCTGTACCTTGCTTTGTGCACCTTTGACCTCTTCCAGCGTTTCAGTATCACGTGTCAATGATGCACTTTCCAGTTAGCAAGGGATCCACATATGACACAGTGGCCAACGCTCAATTTGTCACAATACTGCTTACCTGTATTCCTATGTACAATTCCTTAGGCCCGTAACAGCGCAATTTACGCACGCATTAAGTATTCATTACAACAGGTAAGTCTTGCGGCTCCCGATCTGCACTTGCTATCAGTGATCCCTTTGCAAGGGCTGACTGTAACACAGTAGGTTCTATATGCACGTAGACGTGTGAAGTCTGCAAACCAGATGCAGAGAGAGGACGTAGCTGGTCAATAGCAAGGTCTTGCCAGAAACAGATGCAGCTTTGGCGCTACTGAAACACGTGCAGTCCATCAGCTAACTCTGTACAGAAAATCTTGACATGACTAAATCCTGAAGTACTCCGGAAAGGAAGTCAAGGTGACTTACCCCACTTTCCCACTGAGGGAAAGACAAAGTGATTTGCTGTAAGCCATTTAACGTATCAGTGGCAAAGCTGAAATTTCTAATTCCCAAACCAGTGCTTTGTACAGCACCATGGCTGCATCTGCAGAAACCAACAACTGGTTTAAGGGTCCTCCCGGACTCTTTGCATACTATCCGCAGGGAACAGAGAGCTCAGAACAGGTAGCAAGCAAATCAAGTCAGAGCAAAGGTGAGATCTTATATGTTCTCTTCCACACCCTGGCATCCAGTATACACATATTCACATGTAGCATAAACTCTTTTGACTCATGACTTTTATTTATGCCTGAGGCTTTTGGTAAGCACTCGTACAATGCTGTTATAATTTAACTGGAATGAGCAGCTGCATCATCCAAATCTGTCCAACAGCCTTGGCTACCACTTCTCCAAGGAAAATGAGTGTCACTCCAAGTAGGGCTTATCTAAAAGTTATGTTTGTCTTACAGTATAGATGATACACTTGCCTAGATGTCTTTGGACCAGGAGCTCAAAGCGTTGTCTACTACAGAATGACAGAAAAGCTTGTGGTAAATGAAGCAGCCAACAAACCTTTTCTTCTACTAGCAAAGGTTAAGGAAGATGCCGGGATTTACAAAATGTCCAAAAGAGGATGAGAGACAGATTTCCAACACCAAATTCTTGAAAGAAGTCAGCCACATTCTACACTAGCTGCAAGGTAAAAAGTGAGTTTTTGGCACAGCCTCACCTCAAATTCTTCGAGCTTGCAGCCCTGCATAGGGGTAGGGCTCCTGGCAGTGCAACATGCTCAACCTACTCCCTGCTCTGTTGAGGTATTTTCTTCAGCAATAAGATAAACATTAAGCATTTTAAATCAAACTCAACATTTGATCTGTAGCAGAAGTGTATTCTGGCTATATCTACCCCTAAATTCTACCATTCCTTTTCATCCCCTGTGCCTTCCTATCCACCAAGGCTGTATCTTTTACCAGTATGTCAATGCTAATGACAAAATTTATTTTCTGATATTCTTGCTCCCAAAAGCCAGAGTCTACATACCCTTACATAGCAGGAAGGACTTTTACCACTATAACATCTCATTCCTCTCTTTCTCTCCTGAAAGTTGGTTCGAGCTATCCAAGTTTTTGCTTGCACAGAACTAGCCTTCACAGGGAGGTCTATCAATATAGCTACACAAGCCCATATTTTTAAACCAAAATTGTGCCTAAACTGATTAAACATCTCTCTCCCTTCTGTATTAAAATTATTATTTCTCCTCATAAAACTGCTAAAAAATATAGAAGCATTTTTGTCCCCACTTTATAATTCAGAGCTTAAATAAATTTGCAGAAGACTGACTCTCCAGTTCTGTCAGTCCATAGCACGCGCTAAACCCTCTACCCTCCTCACTAGAACAAAACTGACATGGATATACACTCACACATCCTACAACCATGTTTTGCAAAGTGCCCCAAATACTCCTGCAGCCTTCCTTCAGGGTATCTTTATCTCGAACTTCATTACAAAAGACCCTCTCAAGTCAGTCAGGCCCAATTTTTGGTGAATCACGGGAGTTTCAGAAAGAGAAACTGCATCACAGTAAAAACTGCTACTGGCACTCCTCAGAGCATGAATCATCTCTTCAGCTGCAGAGATGTGCACATCTCAAAATATTCACATTTAACACAGATTATCTATTGCAGAGGAGTGGGTACTTTTCAGAAATGCAAGCTCTTGCAGAGCGTGCTGCTTAATGCAGTGAAAACATCTCTTAGTCCCTTTTGCTTTATAGGATACATACATTTACATAACTGTTGTTAGATTACACAATGACTAATTGCGGATTTAACACACAGCCTTATCACACCTGGAGCTTAACTCAAACTAACATCTCACATGAGGGAAGATGTCTCAATTCACTGTTTTTAACGAAATCAAAGATATCGATCTGATGCAAAATCAAAACCTTATATATTCTACACAGGAAGTCACAGAATCACACAATGTCAGGAGTTGGAAGGGACCTCAAATGATCATCTAGTCCAGCCCCCCTGCCAGAGCAGGATCACCTGGAGCAGGTCACACAGGTCATCTGTTCTTACAGTAGATGTAACAAATTAAATAGTAGAATTACACTGAAGTAAGGAAATTTAACACAGTTCCAAAGGAAAGCACATAAGATTTGTGGTTATCCCTTCAAGGATCGAGGATTGAGATTTGACTCCTTGAGAACTCAGCCATAGCTGCATTGTTGGGAACTGCAAGCCAATAAACACAAAGCTTTTAGGAATAATGCTGCCTTATCTGCTGCCGACTGTGTCAAGCGTAGCTGCTTGCAGCCAGAGTGTCAGCGTGCATTCGTAAGGAAGGGCAGTACATCCAGCACGAGAGGAAGCCAGGTATGAAAACCAACAATAGAGAGAGAGAGAGCAAGGAACAAATGCAGTTTACAATTGCCTTGAAACAAACCGGAGCACTGCTATTTGCCCACTTCTCTCATAGGCTGTCAATATTTGTAAAGTGTTAAAATTCACCAGACCAGAAACTCCATTCTCCATCAGCTGTGAGTTAAGCAACATCACGTTCCTCTCAGAGTAGTGAAATAAGAGAAGTTGTCTCCTTAAAAAAACCTTTCATCCTCTTTTTTTAATGAAAGTCAAAGACAACTAGAGAACCTCAATGTACATCTCTCCAGTCTCTCACTCTCAAGCTTTCAGCTGATAATGACCCTCGGGACAATTCTCGTCACACTGGCAAGGCTGTGCGTATTGTTCATAAATTACATCCCACAATGTGACCTCATTTTCTACTTTAATGCAATGTAGAAACATCCCA